ACTTTCTAGCACTTGATGAATTTGACCCTGGTGGTAAAAAGTCTGGACACCACTGGAGGTTAACAGCTGCTAAAAATCTACACATTTGTTCACAACCTCCAAACAAACACAGCTAAACTGAAAACCCGGCTTTAAATAAATGTGTATGAGTGAAAACATAACGCTCAGTGTATCATTTTCATCTGCTTGAACCAACGATAACGTGTTGGGTTACTGGGTATTTCCATGCAGTTACCAACTGTAGAAATTTCCCCAAATATAAAGTCCAACATAGCTCGACGTGTCAGTGTGACAGTTTCAGTTGACATTAAAGTTAACCGTGGACGATACGCAGCTGTTTTATGGTTATTATGAGACTAAAGTGTTGAAAGTTGGTTGATTTTGTCATCTTTTTGGCAAATGTAGAAGGAAGAGGTGAACGTCTTTGACAGAGAGCTTACCTGGACTTTTAAGGTTATATTTGTTCTCCATGCTGGCAGACGCGACGTAATCTGATCAATCTGGAAGTTGGTTCGAGAGTCCGCGGTCAACTCGTTCCAGCACTAACTCACTGAAGACGTTACTTCCTAGTCTACCTGCAATGAAGAACCCGGCTAGCTTGCTTTCTGGCTGAGACGCGCCGACAGCGGGAGGTCTTCCTCGGGGTACTGGCTCCGGAAGCGGCGGCTTAGGGGACGTTTGCATATAGTTTCGTATCGAAATAAGAAGGACGCTGTCTCTCAACTTATCTAATGTTTCAATATCGAAACACTCCGTTTAACATTTTTCCCGTGACGTCAATTTGTCTAACGTAAACAGGAAGTGAGTGTGAATCCTTATTCGCTATTATTTTGCAACTGCCAAACCAACTGAACGATGCATTACCGCCACCTATTGAGCTGGAGAATGTTTCACTTTTTCCACAGCCTTATGCCAAATTCTCTCTCTCTAATATTCTACACACGATTACCCCATTATGACAATGTGGCAAACTGAGTGTGTTACAAATTTATTAAAAATAGAAAAGAACTGACATTTTCAAAAAATATTTACAACCTTTGATTAATACTTTATTGACTCATCTATTTTGAATATAATGCCACAAGAGCAGCTCGCCTAACCTACCTTCAGCTGTTAAAGGGCAAAAGTTTATCTGGATAGGTCGCTAATCCATCACAGAGCAACACATAAACAACCATGCACGCACACAAACACCCATACACTCACCTGCACACACACACAGATGCATACATGCACAATGAGAATTTACCAGCTTGTCTGTTTTTGGACTGTCGGAGGAAACCGGAGTACCCGGAGGATTTGCATGTAAACTTCATGCAGAAAGATACCAGACCAGGATTCTAATTTCGTACCTGCTTACTACAAGGCAACATTGCTACTGCACAGCCCGGAAATTATAACAAATAATGCAAAATTTATTGCAAAGGATATTGCAGAGTAAGGAGCGAGGAGAAGTGGTCAGTTTGTCCTCCATCAGCATAAACCTTCAGCCTCATAATTCCAGAGACAGCTCAGGATAGCCTGAGGTGCTTTAACTAGACGGCTTCATCAAAAGAAAAGTTTTGCACATCTTGACAAACCTATTAGTACCCCTCTGTCAATGATTGAAATCCCACAGTTGTCACTAAAATAACTTGAACCTGACACGATGATGAATAAAAATTTACTAAAAATGTAAATGCAACTTTATATTTGAAGTGTGGTCATTTCCAAAAGCAAACTAATGAAACAGGCCTGAACAATAATTATGGTACATGTAATTTAATATTTTGTTGCAAAACTTGTTGATGTGATCACTGCAATCAGACAATTTCTGTAACTGCTAAAATTATTACCAAGCACTGTCTGGTGAAATCACTCAATCAGGTTTATTCATGTACTGTGCACAACACAGAGAGCTTGTAGGACAATTAATAATGAAGCAGTTCTGAATGAAAAGCTCTGCCAAGCAGAGACAACATGAGTTTTATACCAAAGATTAGGAATCCTAAAGAAGGGAGAGACAGTCTGGTTCTCATGCAGTTGAAGGAAAACAACTTCCAACCTTACAAGTATACATGTAACCTAAATAGCTTTATCCAGTGCAGTGGGAATATAAAAGAACTTAGAATAAACATATAGCAATATAACTAGCAAATATTACCTTATAATAATTTTCCACTACACTACACATGAGACTTCAGCACCTGTCTCATTGGCAGGCCAGGTATGCTGGTCGACTCCTCATCTACAAACTGTTTCATTTGTCTCAAGTTTGAATGGTGCTGTCTGTGGATGGAATGTTTCAGCTCCTTCTGCAGATGTTTAATAGGATGTTGAGAGTTATGAGGACGTATGGTTATTTGTCTAGACTTGATGCTACATGAGGTCCTGAGTGTGTAGGTCTGATGATATTTGGAGCAAAACCAACAGAATGTTGGTTACATTTGGGCCCAAATGGCCCAAAGGTTATATTTGGGCCAGTACTTTCAGAATCAAGAAAATACCCCACCATAACAACGTCATCACTCTAACACTAAATCAAATGAGAAATCTGAGAATGGGAATAAAAACTGAGTGTAAGGTCCTGGTGGACAGTGCAAAACAACAAACAGATGTGTTTTAATACTTTGCAAATTGGACAAGAAAAGCCAGGTGAGGTATTGAAAAAAAGCGTCACTATTAATTTGTTAAGCTGACTGGAAGAAGAAGTACGTTTGCTACTCTTCCTCACCCAACATTTAGATAAACATGAAAATTAGAATAATTAAGAGCTGACTCATTTGTACTAATGTCATCATTGTCATCATTGGTGCAATGATGACATTATACTGTGAGACAGTATAAAACAATTCATATGTCTGATGTAAAATGTTTGGGAGATTTGTTTTGTTTATGTTTTGTATGTGTTCCATTCCTACCTCGTGATGCAGAGGTTAGGTTTAACTTCACAAATGTCCCAAATAAATGTTGTGTATATTTTTTGGCTCCTAAGAAAAGTTAACAAAGTTTAATTAAAAATAAGATCTTCCAAAGCTGTTGACTCAATGCAAGGGGTCCCTCCATCTCCATCTACTTTTGAAATACTTTTGGCTGAAAGCTACCCTTTTACACATTTTATTTAAATTTTTTGTAATACAAGTTTTGTCAAAAAAAGACAACATATTACACAATGATGTAGTCATTGTTTGCTGCGAGCAACACACTGTCATTTTTTCATACACTATTACAACCAAGCTCCAAACCTCTGTCTGGATTACTCTATAAAGGAAGCCTGACCGATGACTTATGTCATAATAAATTAAGGGAAATCCAATTTTTCTGCTTGTGTGCTCACACACCAGCATTTGCAGTAAATGGAACTTGTCATATAAAGATGCCAGGGGCATTACAGACATATACTGCTGCAACATCACACAGCTCAGGAGTCACACACCACTGACCCCTTGCCACTCTTTGCCTGGTTATGCTGACTTCAGAGGATATGAAATGAAATATACATATGGGTGAACTACGTATTTCAGCTAAATTGGAACTACATTAATGCTGCTTAATTGGAAAGTGAGCTCTCCCAATGTATATAAGTCAATGAAGGCTCAAGTAATGTTGTTCAATTGCTCACATGCAAGATATTACAATTGTAATTAGAAAAATTTGTTTTTCCTGTGGAAATGCAGAGTGAATACTATAAGCTGGAGGTGTTTGGTGAAAAGTGCAAAAGAATTTTAAGTCAATTGCAAAAAAACTTGCAGAAATGCAAGAAATTGGGGAAAGGCATATAGAAAAACTGTTTAAGAGGAGGGAACATTTTCAGTCAACTCAAAAATCTCATCCAAAGACTATTAGAAATTGCTGCAGAATACTCCTTTAAAACCTATGCTGTTAGGTCACAGCAGCTTTTTTACCAAAGTGAGCAAAAAGCTACAACTAGCTAAAATGACAGGATATATAGTATCACTTGCAAGTTGACCTACAACTTGCTAGTGATATGGAGTATCTAACTGTTGAATCTACAGTAAAATACATTATACTGTGTGAATAATCCCATGTAAAGCTAAAATGAGCTGATAACTAAAATGCTAGGCTAGTACTAGCATGTTGACCTACAACAACAGTGTATTGGTTTGGAAATCTCACCTGTATAGTGTAATTTAATTTATCAAAGACGTGAGAGGGTCTTAATTAATCAAAGAAAGGAAGCCTTGTTGTTTATTTGAAAGCACTTTGTTCAGATGCACTCCATGCAAACCTCGACCCAGTTCTACACAACCAACAACACAGAGACATAGAAACATAAAATCGAAACAATCATGAGGCAGAACATAGCATAATATGATTCAACATATAAAATATGTTAAATAACAAGCAAAAGGGGAGAGAAAAGCAGGAGCATAGACTCAATTGCATCAAATTTCACAGAATGAACCAGACTAAAATTCTAACAGGAACTGCCTATAGAGAGGAACAAGGCTTTAAGTTTGCACACATTAAATTACCATTCTGGAGAGTCAAAATGTAGTTTTGTCCAGTCAAAATGCATTTTCAGATATCTGGAATGCAATTACAGATAGTCAGACGGAACCGAATTTATGTTAACACGGCTTGCCATACACTCACAACTTTTCAACAGTTCTACAACCAAATGTCATACTGCCCTCTTCCGGCCGTTCAATCCACACTCACTGAGTCTACCACAGGTTGCTCAGGTCGTTTCAAGGGAATCTTGCTCACCATCGAGCACACACAGTGCATTGTTTCCATTCTTCTTTACATCATCCACATTTTTGTGCATTAACAGCAATATCACGGGTACTGCATGACATGAGTGTGAAACTTACCATGTGATAGTCTGAAGTTAAATCTCAAGATATTTAATACCGAAGTCTCCAGAGTTCAAATTTTGAGTCTGAAAGCTTTTACTCTGAATTTTATTGTCACTTTTACTCTGAAAGGTCGCTTCCGCGTGTTCCTGTTGACGTTACAGACGTGGAAGTAAAACGTCATTACGTTTTAATCGTGTTTCGAGCGCGGGAGCTTTGAGGAAATTCGTCGACATCAGGCAGAAAACGTTGCAGGTACTTTCTATGGAAGGTTCCCTTTAGCGCAGCACCGACTGTTGGTAAGCAGATTTAGGAACTCGCCCGAACCTAAGCTGTCAGTCCACTCTGCGGGGCTGTCAGCAGCGTTAATCAGACCAAATAGTAAAGTAACGAAGGGTTTGTGCTAATGCTAGGCTAAACAATTGCATAAGTATTAAAATAATTCCGGTGTGGCGGAATAAATACGCCGCAGAACAGTACAAGTTGTGGCAGTCCAGTTAAACAGGGACTATAATCTTGTTAAAGTGCTCTAAATTGCGTCCCAATCGTACTCACAGTAGTGTTGTAGTGTTTTTAACTGTAGCATACACAGTGAAAAGAACAATAGCAATTCTATGATATTTAACAGTCACAACCTATTCTGATCTGACAGGACACCGGCGAGTAATCAAGTTATTTTTTGTAAAGATAAGCAAGGTGGTTTTACTGTCTGAAAAAACCAAACCACAGGAGCAGCTGTCTTATGGTACAAAACTCACAGTCACTTGTCTGCGCCCCCTGTCGGCCAGGTGTTATCATGGCGACGAGAGGAGAGACGAGAGTGGAGGAAGAGACGGAGGAGGAGGAGAACTACGGGCCGCAGCCTCTCTCCAGACTGGAGGTAAAGTCTGCCGGCTGCTCTGTGCTGGTTTACTCGGGCTGAACAGTAAGGTGAAACAATGCAGTGATGGAGACACGAGGCGAATACCAATAGATAATCATCTGATAAAATATTTAATACATATATATCTATAAAACATTGACTCCACTCCGATAAGGAACCGCATAGCATTCCGGGAGATGTAGGCTTTCGTTGCTCAATCTCTCACAGCAAGCTAAGCAACTAATTCTCTCTTTGGTTACCTAGCAACAAGCTGTTGAGTAACCTTCATGTCTCATAACTGCTTAAAAATAAACGAGGTGGAGATAAAACAGCAAAGACCAGGCCACCAGCCTGACAGTATTTCAGATATTTAAAACAAACTAATCAATGACTATTCATATCTACTGATATGAAATGCTTATATTGTGATAAGTTATCAGCCATATTGTTCAGCCGTAGTTTAGAACTTAGTTTGATTTTTTTTTTTTTTTTTGGTATTAAAAGTTATTAAATGATTTGTCATACAAGTCACTTTGAACTACTTAATTGTTGAAATATGTCATACATACAAACTTGTCTTAGCTTAAGATTTAATATGACATTAAATTACATAAAATACATTTGTCTAAGCAAGTCTTCTGCAGTTTGATGGGTAATGCCATGGTGTTCACAAATAAAAGAAGGTCAAGCACATGCTACAAATGTGTCTAAAGAGTTGTCTGTAAATAAATGATGTGTATTTCAATACTGGTGAGCCTGTCCCCTGCTGGAAGCTGATTTTGTGTTTTTCCCTGCAGCATTGTGGGATTAGTGCCAGCGACATCAAGAAGCTGGAGGATGCAGGATTCCACACCATAGAAGCAGTGGCCTACGCACCCAAGAAAGAGCTGCTCAACATCAAGGGCATCAGTGAAGCCAAAGCAGACAAAGTTTTAGTAGGAAATGTCCACCTTCCATTTACACAAGCTAAAACTGTACTTTTATTTAGCTTGGTTCATTTATAAGCTGAAATTTTCTGTTTTCCATTGTCTGCATTAAAATAACTCGTGATTGTTTCATTCTGTCCACTCCAGTGAAATGAAATGAATGGACTCGAGCTTATAAAATAGTTCCTCACTGAAATGCACAGAACTTTTTCCACGTATTAAGTTTAACAGCATTAATTTAACAATGTATTATAGTCATCAGAGAATTAATGATTAAGTAATGAACATTGTGAATTCATATCTGGTAAATTCTGCACTTATGCTGCTTTCTTTACTTTCTCTCTCACTGGTGTACTTTGTGCTGTCCTTGGTTCTGTTCCTGGCAGACAGAAGCAGCCAAGCTGGTGCCGATGGGCTTCACTACTGCTACAGAGTTCCATCAAAGGAGAGCAGAGATCATCCAGATCTCCACAGGCTCCAAGGAGCTGGACAAATTACTGCAGGGTGTGGCCCAGTGACTGGCTCTTAGCAGTGACTTCTACACCATTGGGAGGGAAGCTGACCATGCTGAGTCTCTGTTCCTGTGCAGGTGGGATCGAGACGGGCTCCATCACAGAGATGTTTGGAGAATTTCGGACCGGAAAGACCCAGCTGTGCCACACGCTAGCCGTTACCTGTCAGGTAGCATCCTGTTTGATCAGGAGCTGAACATGGAGATGTGTGAAGAGCTGTATTCACAGGAGCTGGTTTTCCTCTGTCCCTAGCTGCCTATTGATCAGGGAGGTGGAGAAGGGAAAGCAATGTACATCGACACAGAAGGAACCTTCAGACCTGAGAGACTGCTGGCTGTAGCTGAAAGGTAAACACATTTATACTTCAATTTTTATTTCATGTACTTAAACATGTCAAAGTGTTTGAACCCTTCCTGCTTGTCTTTTATTTGCTGGGGTTAGGTATGGGCTTGTGGGCAGCGATGTGTTGGACAACGTGGCCTACGCTCGAGCCTTCAACACAGACCACCAGACTCAGCTGCTGTATCAAGCCTCTGCCATGATGGCTGAGTCCAGGTCAGCAGTGGTCTCAGTTCTATCTGAACTATGATCCCTTGCACAAGTCTGGAAGAATTTCTTTACACATTGAGACATCCGTTCTATTTTGGCTTTAGTGACATCAGATGTTCACAAAGCATTTCGATTGAACTTCTTAGTGTAACTAGTATTTCCTCCAGGTATGCCCTGCTTATTGTGGACAGCGCCACCGCGTTGTACAGGACAGACTATTCAGGCAGAGGGGAGCTGTCAGCCAGGCAGGGGCATCTGGGGCGGTTCCTCCGCATGCTGCTCCGGTTGGCAGATGAGGTACGCAGCGCAGCTCTGTGATACATTCTGATGTAGTGGACATGTTGGTTGATCATGCCTGTGTAGATCAGCCAGACATCCTGTTGTAACACAAACAAGTGAGACTTGTGTCTTTCCCCCCCACCCCTCTAGTTTGGGGTTGCCGTGGTAATAACCAACCAAGTGGTGGCACAGGTCGACGGGGCAGCCATGTTTTCAGCAGATCCCAAGAAACCGATTGGTGGCAACATTTTGGCACATGCTTCCACCACAAGGTGTGTTTGACTCTAAATAAGATTGTTTACTCCTCAGCCACACCTCCAACCATTTCTCCTCTGTCCAGGTTGTACCTGAGGAAAGGCCGAGGAGAAACCAGGATCTGTAAAATCTATGACTCCCCCTGCCTACCAGAGGCTGAGGCCATGTTTGCAATCAATCCAGATGGCGTTGGAGATGCCAAGGACTGAGCAGCCCTGGGCCAGCAGGGGGCTGTAGTGAGCTCACAAAGAGTTCAAGAGTTCTCATGGTTTGTTGACTGTTCATTACAGTCAAAAAAAAAATGAGGTCATATTAGATCCAAACATTCCTCAGTTACATGATTAGTATCAGCAACAAGACCTTCATGGAGTACTGACAATATAACCTGGGAAACCTGAACAAATGACTTCTAATGGACAATATTTGTCTGGAAATTTTGCTGAGGTTTGTGTCTAAGAAGGAAGAAATTTTATTTAAAATGTTTTTGTCCTTAAGCTGTTCTATCCATTCCCTTCAGAAATAAATGTCTGAATTCTTTGAGCAGTGAGTTAAGGGGTCCTTTAATAAACTGATGGTAATCATTCAGACCCAAGCAGTTTCATTTCATTAAAATTTATTATTAACTCAGATTTACAGGAAATAACCTCTTTTTTTCACTGAGTGCTAACAAAGAAATGCAATGACACCATCAATGTCACTGTAAAAATAAAGAATTCAAAAATATAAATACTTGTGTAACTAAACTTTATTACTGCAGAGATTGAACACTAGAAGAGCCAGAGCAGCACCTCTAACTACTGTCCATGATTTATTTTGATCATTTTCAAATAAATTAGCAGCTCTGATTTTTACTGTATCCATCTTGATGCTTTATTATCATTGTATTAGAAGTGAGCTCTTCCAGAACACCCATGTGAAAATGGAACCGAGCTGGAGCAAAAGAAAAACAGGATTTCTAGCTTGGTGCCGTATTAGGTTTTTAGCTCAGCTTATTGTCTGTTCCTGTTTTCAAAATACCATGTAAATAAATGAATGACCTGAAGTGTTAAAACATGGATTATAGCCTGTCTGAAAGGTCACAGCAGTACTGAGGCTGCACAGCCAGGGAGTTTCTCCACTTTCATGGCAGCTGCTGCAACACTTTGACCAAGAAACCTGCTGCTGCTCTGAGATCAGCTCATCTGTTACTGGGCCCTTGGTCACTGGAGGCAAACATGCTGCAGTAGCATCAGTGGGTGTAGTGCTTAGATGAGCCAGCTGCTTCTTAAACTGGCAGTAGGGGGGAAAGAAAACAAACTAAAGAGCTGAAAAGTTTGCAAAAAAGGTAAAATTAATAAATGCAATGCACAGATGTGGAATCAATACTACCTAAACAATTTAAAACAACAGACCAGTTACTAGAAAAGTTATCACATGTCATAAAATATTAAAATGGATAGTTTGAGAGACATCCATTAGTGCAGGAAAACATCTGAAAGATGAGACAAACAAACTGTCAGTTTGTTTGGTTGTCGGTTAAAAGTTGAAGTTGAGCCTCCAGTTCATATGCTTCTTCATCCTGAAGACATGAGATAAAAGTTATGGTTTACATTTCAGTATCACTTCAAAACATTTTATTTAACCATTCTTATAGTAGGACGTCTTTTGAGATGAAATCCGTTTGTTAAGAAGATCTGGTCAAGAGGCATGGGAATATAAATATGTTCTAAATGAGACAAGACTTCTAAATGTATATAATTACTTTGCATATATAAACATTTAGAACTGCAGACAGAAATGTGCATGTGTTCACATTCAGAAAGATCTTACATTGTCTGTGGGCATCTTCAGAGCCAGCCTGGTCCAGTTTGTGGCCTCAGAGATGTTCCCCAGATCCTTGTGACACTAAGCAAAATGGAAGCTGCTTTACAGTTCTCTAATGTCATCATAAAGGCATCTGTAAATACTACTGTATTGGGATTTGATGCAAGATGTTGAGTTTCAGGAAATTTCCAGGTACCTTGGCAATGTAAAGCCTGACATTCCTGGAGAATCCTGGCCTGAGCTCCTCTGCCTGCAGGACAACAAATGAAGGTCACCATAGAGACAGTTAGAGAGAAATAAACGTCAGACTGTAACTTTCATTTCTGCCACATGAACTGGCTTATTCAATTTAACCAGACAGATGCTGTTGAAAATCAGGAAATAGTCAAAATGGCAACTAATTGTCAGCATGTCTGACAAAGTATTTCAGGTAACTGATATCAGAGGTCTGGTTTAATCCCACTAAAGTGACTAGAGTCAAATGAAGAAGAATCTTCAGGGATTTATAGTAAATCAGGATTATAATCTAGAAGTTCTCCTTACCAGTTAACCATAAAACATTATTGATATTTATTCAAAATATACAATTGTGATGGCTATCTCTATCTTGTTCTTACTGCTCACCCAGGGAAATAAACCAAAGAAATTTATTGTTAGTTGGGATTATTCTTGTTGCTTTAAAAGAAAAATAGAGAACATCTGAAAAAAACTTGGCTCAGAGAAAATCCTTCCCTGGCTGTGAAAGGATGCCAGGGAAGGACACATGTCAGTCAAAAGAGTTTTTTCTTTTTGTTTTCCTCTGGAAGTCCTAAAAACTGAAAGAAGTAAAAACAAAAAAGCACCTAATTGCTGTGGTTTCAAACTGCTGTTAGTTATACTGGACAATAATATTATATTTCTCCAACTATTTTTAGAAAAAAAACACACAAGATTAACATGTTCATAGATGACTAACAGCACTATGTGTCTGTCCCATGTGCTCAAACAGATACTGACCGTCAGATGTGTTAACAGTCTACATTTGTCATATACTGGGCTGCTCAGCTCCAACGTTTTCTACAAACAGCTAATCAAAAAATCATTTGAATTTTATCTGGAGCACAAAAGTTTTAAAAGGCACAACAAGGGTCTCCTAAATTTGTATGAAAAATATTTATTGTGGTCCCCCAAGTGCTTCTGAATGAACGGTTCTGGACTTCATGGCAAAACATTTCTACATTACTGCACAAAATGAAAAGCAGCTTCAACCTTCAGGAAGTTCTCCAGGGCGTCGTGAATGGAGGCGGTGGGGGCGCTCCGGTACAAGGCAGCAGCAGCCTTCTTCTCCAACCAGTCAAATGTGGCAACCTGCAGCCCACCCACCCCACACGCACATCAGAGAGCACACACAGGTTGGTTGGAGGCTTCCATCAGTGTGTGATGGCTCTCACCTCGTAGCACCATCTGCCCAGCAGGTAGTAACACACGGGGTCATCATCACTGAGGACCAAGGCTCGATCTAGATGCTCCTGGATGGACCAGGGAGAGAAACAACACAGAGCTGCTTCAATTAAATTACATCTATTTAGTAATGGCAAAAACACTACGCTTTGAGAAAAGGGTTCTTGTTTGGCAAAAGTCCAGAAAAAAAAACTCAAAAGCTTCATTTATTAGTTGAACAGCAGCTCATTTCCTGTTTCTCTGCAACAACCAACTGCACTGTATGAAAACTAACCCAGAACTGAGGACTGACTGGGGGTTTGAGAGGCCAGAGTGCACACACAAGTACGCACGTGCACACACACGCACGGAAACCCAAAGACACTGATCCAGGAGTACTTTCTATGTTAAGTAAAAGTAAAGAGTTCATGGCAGCTGTGGCTCCTTTACTGGCTTCATCTAGAAGAGACACTGATGAACAGATCACATCTGATACGGTTTTCTAGTCTCCAAGAAGAAAAGAAGGAAACATGACTTTTCTTCTGGCCGGGCAACACTTCAGTCACCAGCTTCTCTGGGAGACAGACTCTGGGAGTTAAACACAAACCGGCCAGCAGATGGTCTCTAGGAGCAGAGCAGGAGTTGGTGTCGGCAGCAGCAGTGTGTTATCATCCCTCCCTCAGCCACGGAGGGATGATAACCAAGACCCTTTGTCTTTGCTTCAAAAAACTCATCATTTTATGCAAAACTAATGGGAATTTTTCAAAACAATTCTATCATCAGAGGAATAAAGCATTCTGCTTTACAGATATAAGTATCAGTAAACTCATATGTATATCTGTATGTTAATAACAGATGGGTGAGCGGCTGCTTTACCTTCAGGATGTGGCCGCTCTTCAGTTTGCTGTGCATGCTCTCATGCTCTGAGGAAAGTCTGGTCAGCACAGCGAACCTGACAACACAACCACAACACATCCATGAAGGACACAAACTCTGTGGAGTTAGAAGGACACTGACGATGACCTACCACTTATGACTCTCAGCATCCAGGCTCCTGTAGTTCAGAGCCAGCTCCGCCTCCTCCCGACCTGCACACAGCAACTTTTAATACAAGAGCCTCTATGATGATGATGATGATTACGATCTGTTCAATGAGTCCAACACTGGCTCACTGTCTCTAGCCGATCAGCTGCCCAATGATGGAATTAGTTTTGAGAAAAGAAGAAAGCTGAGGCAAGCTTCATTAGTCACATGGAGCAGATCAGCTCTGTGTGGATGGACCAGCTCCAGCCTGCAGGGGGCGCTGTCCTGCAGCCTATTGATGTGTGTCTGCTTCACAGGACCCATAGCAGCAGCACCAGCAGCACCAGCAGCAGCAGGGCTGAAGGGTCCGATGGCCCTTTGGACTCATCATGTGGATCAGCACTGACCCACATGTCAAATACAAAAATCATTTTTTTGTTTCATTAAAAAGTATGTTTTCCTGATCACCACCACAAAACAACGTCATATCCTGACTGGAAGCAGAAAAACGTTACACTGGGGTCACAGAACCAAGGGTTCTGTTCTGTTCTGTTCAGGGCTGGGCAGCTCCATTCCTACAGACCTAGATCAGGGTGCTCACAATGCGGTCTGGGGCCATTTGTGGCCCTCTGAAGGATTTTGTGTGGTCGCTTGACCTCAGTTTCAGAATGGAACAAATCTGGTCAGAAATCTTAAAGTGACTGAAGCAAGTGGAAGTGATGTACCTGTAGGGTTGATGATTTACACTAAATTAACCTCATCTTGTTAAAAAAAAAGCAACATATGAGGTAAAAAAATAGAACCGGCCTGGTACTGAAGCTGGTCTGGAGCAAGAGTGTCTGGGGAGTGTGTGAGTGGTTGAGTGCTCCCACCTTTTTGAGCGTAGCTGGACTTCTCCTGCTTGTCCTTGGCAGACTCATACATGTCCTTGTAAGCGCGAGCCAGCCTCCAGAGGAAGTCCCTGCTGTCTCCGTACTGCAGGAGGATGAAGAGACAATTAGGAACCTCAGTCATCATCATGAATACAAATACTTTTTAATTTACTTGAGCAACAGAGAAAACTATTTGACATTTTACAGCCTAATGGATTCAAAACTTTGGGAATTACTTATCTGTCAATCTCCCAAATCTCAGATACACTGAAAGACCAGATTCAGTCAGTTGAAGGTCCTGACCACACTTTGAGGACAGATTTTGTCCATCTTGGACAGACAGTGACTCACCTCTGCTCTGTTGTCCAGCAGCAGCTGAAAGCCGTCTGCTTTTAAAGTAGCATCTCCAGTGTGAAGGATGTCACTCTGAGCCAAAAGCAGAGCCAGCTCTCCAGGAGGAACGTCTGCAT